ATGACACAAATATATTATATGCTGATAAAAATTTAAAATCTCTTGAGACAATTGTAAATAAAGAACTGGTGGAAGTTTGTGAATGGCTAAATTCAAATAAATTGACACTGAATTTACGTAAAACAAATTATGTTATCTTTCGACCTCATCAAAAAAAGCAAAATTACCAAATCAGCGTAAAATTGTTTGATAATAGTACGAACAATTTCATTGAAATCGAATGCAAAGAATTTGTCAAATATTTGGGAGTTTTAATAGATAATAATCTTACATGGAAATACCACATCGATAACATTAGCTCTAAAATAAGTAAAGCTATCGGCGTAATTGCTAGACTGAGACACTTTGTACCTGTTTCAACTTTGCATAATATATATCGTTGTTTAATATTACCATATATAACTTATGGCTTAATTGTATGGGGGCATGCGTTAAAAAGGTATGTCAATAAGATACCTATTTTACAAAAACAGGCATTACGATTAATTTATTTTAAAAAATAGCTACAAAGAACATGCTGTTCCACTTTTTATTGAATCAAAAATACTTCCTATAAATATGCTTTATATCAAAACTGTTTGCAATTTAATGCACGATGTTTCTAACGAGTCTTGCCCATCTTCAATTTCTGATTGCTTCATTCACTCAAGACAAATTCACAACCATAACACCAGGCATTGCGTATCTAAGAATTATTATATTGAATATGCAAGACTTACAAAAACAAATTCATCATTCGCAAGAGTTGGAGCAAAAGTATGGAATAATATTTCCACTGATGTGCGTGAATTGGGAAGAACGAATTTCAATAAAATAATAAAGAAAACCCTAATAACAATACTTGAGCTTGAGGATGATTATGTTGATGTACCCACAATACTAGTTCAACAAATGGTCAAGCATTGAAAATAATTCTAAGATTCTCATGATATAGTTGTTATAGTATAGTATTCAAGAAATTATTAAGTGGTTGTTATATATGCGAAATATTAGATATTTAGTATATAATTCTATGCCAAAAGTATACTATTATTATTAAGATCAGTTATTATTCATGTAACACCTTACATTGTTACATTAATAATAAATATAATGAGCATATAATTTTGATTTGTAACTTCACGCCTCGATTAGCTTTGCTATTTTGCGTGTAGTACTGTATTTTCAGGCCCGGAGCTACGGGGGGGTGTGGGCGAAAAATTTTTTTTTCCAGAAAAAATTTTTTCGGAACCAGTCGGTTGAATTGACCTTCAAGAATGTCCGTTCCTGAGGACGGCCCTGTGTATTTTATTTGTTGTGTTTAAATTTAATAAAACTGTGAAACCCTTGTGAAACCGCAAATAATTATAATACCCTAAATTAAAGTATACCAGCCTTAGATCTGTCGGAAATGAATAAGTTTTCATCGGTTCGAATTTTTGGCAATGGAATTTTTTAATCAGCATTCAAATGATTCAATACTTATGTATGATAGGCTATATGCCGTTTTTCTCGGGAAACTTTTGGAAATATTGCAAAAAAAAACCCTTAGTTTTGGACCTTCTGTTAGACAGAATTAAATGACATTCACTTCCTGACATTTTCGTGCTATAAGTAGTGCTGACCTGTTGTTTTATAATGAAAATAATCCCCGTTTTAATTATAAACCTAAGAGGTTCACACGTAGAAATGGCCGATTTGCATGCGACGACTATTCTATATATGGATTTTAGAAATATTATGTATTAAGGGCGGACCATTTGATGGGGTGGATTTTCAGTGAGCCCGATCATTTTTTAAACCTCCTAGTGCTGCTGTCATTCAAGGTGCCAAGTAACCATCCTAGTGCTGCTGTCATTCGTTTTACATTTATATACAGTGGAATAGTAATGTGTAAGCACTCACATGAATGGACCTTGGCTACGTGTTAGCCTTTTAGTAAGTAAAACGGGAATTATTTTATTCCCGAGTCAACGGCGTGGAGCGCCGTTCCGGGCGTAAGCCCGGGGCGAGGGTACTAATTCCGCCCGGCTATTTACACCCGGGGAAACGAAAGCATTAGCGAAGTCTAAAGTTCATCAGTGATCGCGGGCGTGACCAACGGTGTTGAGTGCATGGGTGGTCATCCTCACTGATCTCAAAATATGTGGCGGACTGTCATGAATAGCGAACACTGATTGGTCAAATTTAAAATTTGTTGTATGACAAAAACCGTCTGAAAACGTCTAAAAGAATGGAGCAAAGTCGCCGGCGTTAATGAAGGTAAGTTTGTTTTTAATTTGATGTATTGTTTGCTTTTAGTTTTAAGAACATTTTAAAACGTTCTGCGAAGCGTTTGTGGGTGAATTTTACATTAAATTGAAGCTTATATTACGTATAATAACATACCTAGCATGCAGCCTAGACCTAGGCCTTCTATTTTTATTTATATATATTTTTAATATTCAGCGCTTTTTCACATGAAAAGACTGGGACTAGGTGATTTGGGGGCGGGGCGAAGGAAGAAAAAATAGAAGGCCTAGTGGATTTCCCAACAACAAGGCCAAAACTGCCCTGAAACTGCCCTGATTGCGAAATGGCGCATAACATGCAAGGTAAGGTCCGAAAACTATATTTTTATCATCAAAATTGTAATCAAATAATTTAACGCCCACGCTTGACTTCATATGAATAAGTATGCTAAATTTGAATGGTGTTGACATATATTAATATTAATAATTTATAGTCAAGGGCATCGGATTTCACCTGATTTCACCTCATTTGTTTTGTAATTATTTATAAGCAGACTCGCATTACAATGAAGAAACCAGGGG